CTCACTGGCTGAGCGAGGCGCGGGAGCAACGCCGAGGCTTGCGATCCCGTTGCCGGTCCCCGGTCCGGTACGGGGGCAACACTGAGGGTTGCGATCCGTTGCCGGACACGGAAAAAAGATAAAAAAAAAAAAAAAAGAAATGCTTTTGCTGTATCCCACAGGTTTTGGTATTTTGCTTTTTTCATCTTCATTGGTCTCCAGGACCTTTTAAATTTCCTTTTTGATTCTTTTTTAACTCATTTGTTGTTTAAGAGCATGTTGTTTAATATCCATGTATTTGTATGGTTTCTAGTATCCCTTTGTGGTTTATTTCTAGTTTTATGCCATCATGGTTGAACAAGGTAGCTGATATGATTTCAATTTTTAAAAAATTTGTTGAGACTTGTTTTGTGACCTAACAATATGGTCTAATATGGTCTTTTCAAGAGAATGTTCCATGTGCTGCTGAGAAGAATGTGTATTCTGCAGCTGTTGGATGAAATGTTCTATATATGTCTGTTAGGTAGAATCGGCCTGTAGGAGAGATTAATTCTGATGTTTCATGGTTACTTTTCTGTTTGTATGATCTGTCCTTTGGTGAAAATGGAGTGTTAAAGTCCCCAACTATTATTGTGTTGGAGTCTGTTTCTCCTCTCTTGTTAAGACTAATAGTAACTTCTTTGTATTTATATAATTATGTGGTATGGATTGACTGAATTGTGTGCCTCAAAGTTCACATATTAGAAGCTTAATTCCCACTGTAACTGTTGAGGGTAGGAAATCCTATTATGGTAATTGAAAGGTGGGGATTTGAAGAGATGATTGGATTGTAGGACCACGCAGTAGTGAATGGATTAATAATGGTGGGCAGAGGTGTGGTTCTGAGGCCTTTAAAAGGAGAGGAGGTGAGAGTACCCTCTCTTTCTATGCTGCCATTTCCTGCCATGTGAGACGCTTGCATTGCTATAAAGCCATCACCAAAGAAGATCCTCACCAGATGTGTCCCCTGGACTTTGGACTTCCCAGCCTCTGAAACTCTAAGCAATAAATTTCATTTGCTTATAAATTACCCGTTCTGTGTATTTTGTTATAAGCAACAGAAATAGACTAATACATTATACACACACACACACACACACACACACACATTTATGTAACGTTCTGGAGTTGGGTGCATATATATTGTTATATCCTCTTATTGAATTGATCCCTTTATCATTATGTAACGACCTTCCTTATTTTTTTTTTACTTTCCTTGGCTTTAAGTCTATGTTATCTAAGTAGAGTTACTCCTGCTCTTTTTTTGTTTCCATTTCCATGAAGTATCTTTTTCTATCCCTTGACTTTCAGACAGTGTGTGACTTTATAGGAGAAGTGTATTTCTTGTAGCCAGAATATTGTTGGTTCTTGTTTATAATCCATTGAGCCTCTCTGTGTCTTTTAAATTGTGTCATTTAATCCACTTTACATTTAGAGTTATAATTGATATATAGGGATTTGTTACTCCCATTTTGTTCCTTTGGTTCTGGTTTTTTTAATCCTTTTTTCCAATCTTACTGTCTTTCTTAGTGATTGAGCAGTTTTCTCTAGCAGTGTATTTTGATTTCTTGCTATTTATTTTTAGTATGTCTCTTATAAGTTTTTGTGTTGGTTACATGAAACTTACAAAAAATATGTTATAGTTATAACAGATTACTTTAGACTAATTAAGAAAAAAGAAAGAACCAAAACCAACTCTGTCCTCTGGTGTCATTCCCCACCAGTTTTTGACAATTTCCTGTTTCAAGTTACATCTTTTAATACTGCCTATCTCTTACATGGTTGCTGTATATATTACTATCTTGTTAGGTTTGTCCTTTAGTCTTCATACTAAGTAAGGATAGAGGCGATTTATTCACCAACCTTAGGACATTGGAGTATTCTGAAGTCATCTGTGAATTTACTTTACTAATAAATTATGTACCTGCAAATGTTTTCTTACTGCGCCTTAACAGTATCCTTTCAGATTAAAGAACTCCCTTCAGTATTTCTTGTAAGGCAGGTCTAGTGTTGATAGATTACCTTAGATTTTGTTTGTCTGGGAAAGACTTTATTTCTCCTTCATATGTGAAGCTTAGTTTTGCTGCATAGAGACTTCTTGGTTGACCATCTTTTTCCTTCAGTACTTTGAATATATCATCCCATTCTCTACTGGCACATAGGGTTTCTTCTGAGAAATCTGCTGAGAGACACACTGGGGTTCCACTGAATTCTATATGCTTCTTTTCTCTTGCTGCTTTTCAGTATTCTTTCTTTGTCTTTGTTTTTTGATAACTTGATTGTGATGTGCCTTGGGGTGCTCCTCCTTGGACTGAATTTGACTGACAACCTCTGAACTTCCCAAACTTGGATGCTGTTGTCTTTCTCCATACTTGAGAAATTTTCAGCCATCATTTCCTTAAATATGTTTTCTGAGTCTCTTCCTTTTTTGTCTCCTTTGGGTATCCCAATTATGCAGAAGATATTTCACTTGAGGAAGTCCCATATTTGCTGTATTTCTGTTTCATTTTTTTCTTATTCTCTTTTCTTTTTGCTCCTCTAATTTGAAAATTTCATATGTTCTCTCTTCAAGCTCACTGACTCTTCTTCTGTTTGATTAAATCTGCTGTTGGAGCTTTCTACTGAGTTTTTCAGTTCAGATAATGTATTCTTTATTTCTAGAATTTCTATTTGGTTTTCTTAAATTGATTCAATTTCTTTCTCAAGTTTCTCATTCTGCTCCTGGATTGTTTTCCAGATATCATTTCATTTTCTATCTGTATTTTTATGTGACTCCCTGAACATCCTTAAGATGGTTATTCTGAATTCTCTGTCATACATTTCATAAATTCACTATTTCTCCGGGTCCACTGCTGATGTGTTTGTTTTCTTTGTTGGTGTCATATTTCTCTGTTCTTTCTCAGTCTTTGTGTCTTAACACTGATGCCTGTGCATTTGAGGAGACTGCTACCTCTTCTAGGTTTTATAGATGTTCTTAGGTGGTGTTAGATCTTTATTGGTTAATATCAGAGGTTCGTCTCTGCTCTGTGGTTTTGGTTAATTCCAAAATTGTTGAAACTTTTTGTGGGAACCAGCATTTGAGCTCTGTGGTTGCACTAAATTGCTCCTTTGCTGTTGATTCTATGGGGAAGGCGTTTTATGCAGACTGGATTTTCATTGTCAGTCTTCTAATCACTTCTGGGTCTTCTGAGGTCTGAATACACCTGGGCTGTGTGGAAATTCTGGTCCAGACCTGAGTCTTTCCAGCAAACTGTGCCCCTTGCAATTCTATTGCCCTGACCAGTCTCCACTGAGTGGGCCTGTGCTGATCAGAAGGCAGATCAGCTACCCACTCTGCACCTCAATGCTGTCCTAGTAGGCCAGCCTCCCTACCAAACTCCAAAGCTTCCCATGGGGTGTGCTGTGACTGGGTCCCTTGTGATAACTCACTGGCCCCTGGGTAGTTCCTTTCTTCGGTGTCAGCCCTAGCCTCTTGCTCCTACTTGGGTCCACATGAACCCTGTTGGTGGTCTTGTTGGTCTGGGGGCTGGTATGGTATGTTCCAAGACCCTCTTCTCCCCTATAGACTTCAAGTAACTTCATGCAAAGGGCTCAGCTGAGGGTTTTTTTTTTTGCTGGCTCCTTCTCTGTGTGCTATAGCTTCTTCCTGCCTCTCACAGGGCCGGCCCTGATGCAGCCCTGGCTGAAACGGTAGGAGTCGTTTCTTCTTCTCACCGTAGCTTCTCCCACCTTCTCAAACTCTGCAGGCCTCTCCTCCTCTTTCCCCATGCTCCTGCAATTCCAGATTGTCAGTCTTTGCTTTTTTTTGTGTGTGTGACCAGCTGCACCGCGCTCAGCCAGTGAGCGCACCGGCCATCCCTATATAGGATCCGAACCCGCGGCGGGAGTGTTGCTGCACTCCCAGCACTGCACTCTCCCGAGTGCGCCACAGGGTCGGCCCAGTCTTTGCTTTTTAATAGTTGTTAATTGGTCCATTGTTGGGGAGAGTGACCCTGAGAATCGTCTACTCCATCATCTTGATGACATCTCTCTTTTCTTACTCATTCTTATCAGATAGATAAAAATTTAATTGAAAACAGTTTTTGGCTCAAGGTTCCAGGTTAGGAGCTCCATCATGTAACTACACTAGAGTTCATGGTTTTAAGAATTTTACTGGGTTAGCAAGAAACTTGAATGTACCCCTTGCATTTCTGAGTATTTGTGAATTTTAAGAATTAATGTATCACTGATTAAGCACAAGCCCAATACTAGCAAAGCAGAGAAGACAATGACTGCCCTTGACTTTTTTGAATAAATAAAATTAGTAATGAAGAAAAGACAGAAAAGAAAAAATGTAAAAATATTTTAATGGGATTATTTCTGAACTCGTCCTTAAATCTTCAAAGAGGATTTTTAGAAAAAAATAATCATGTGATGAATAAAACTAAAATTTGCTAACCAAATCATCCTCTACAACCTCTAAAGTTGGATGTGTATACATTTACTAAACATTCCAAAACATACAACTGCTTAATAGAATCACCTACAAGTCAAATGATTTCATACATATATTTAACACAAAGAGGAACAAAAAATTAAGATGAACCTACCCTTCTTCAACATTTAAAGAACCACTCCAACCAACAGCAAATTGCATTTCCTCCTTTCCTTTATCACTGTATTTCCATTTTGCTGAAAAAAGTAAGATATGTAAAATAACTTTAAATATAGTATACCGAAACAGTAATTTATAAATTTTGCTCCTTCCTTTTAGAATGATGAGTACAAAATTTAGTGGTTGTGTATTAACTGACTTGGGTTCTTTATAGGTAAATCTAAAATAATGTTTCAAAAATTTTATAAGATTTTTATAAAACTACCTAGTCTCCTAGCCTTTAGTCTCTTCTTCCTCCAAATACACCCATATGATGTTGTCATAGCTCCAGCAGAATAAAGTTGTTAATACCTATGTACTATCCTACTTATTTTAAAGATTACCTTTATCTTCAGATGGCAAAGAAAAATTTTCTATTAGATTTATGCTACTGGAGGGTAAACTTGCTTTGTAAGAACATTCCATAGCCATTTTATATATAATTATATTTTGATCACTGAGATTGCTCATATCCTATGCATCTCCAAACCTTAATTTTAATCTTTAACAAAAATTGTGAGCTAAAAACTTATGCCCAAAATAGAAATCTATATTACTATGCATTTACAAACTATTAGTTTACTGTCACTAAGAAGGGATCAGCAATCTTTCAGCTCTGACTGCCCATGCAAGTATTGGGCAATGCCCAAAACTGCCTCTGAAGGACCACAGAGAGACAGCTAAAGTATCTGCATCCAGGAGAGAAAAACAGAGAGGAAACAAACAGAAAGAAAAGAGAGAAATACAAAAAAGGAAAGAAAAGAGGTGTTATATAAAATAAACTACAGATGCCACCGTATAATGCATATAATAGAAATAACATTTTTTCTTTCCACCTAATCCGTTTTCTATTCTATTCTACGCTCTAAAATAAAGGCCACTGAAAATAATAGGGTACTTACGCACTAGAAATACAGCTTTTTGCTCCCGAGCTATAACCATAAGATCATTGGTTGGAGATAAGGATAAAACACAATCTTGAAGCCAAGAAGTTTTCTGTGTTTTGCAAGTATTTCCTTCTTCCTCCTGTGGGTAAAACTACAGTTACTGAATATGCAAAAATATCAAGAGTATTTCAACTCAACTTTGTCTGCCTTGAAAAGCAAGGGGGAGGGCCAGCCCAGTGGCGCACTGCTACAGTGCGCCGCTTGGGAGCGCTGCGGCACTCCCACCGAGGGTTCGGATCCCACATACAGACCGGCCGCTCACTGGCTGAGCGAGGTGCGGGCGCAACACCGAGGGTTACGATCCCATTGCCGGTCCCGGTCTGGTACGGGCGCGACACTGAGGGTTGCGATCCATTGCCGGTCACGAAAAAAGACAAAAAGGAAAAAAAAAGAAAAGAAAAGAAAAGCAAGGGGGAAATACAAATTATGATCAAGTTCTGTCTGACACCATCCCAACAAAAGGACTATGAGCAATCCTGAAAGCAAATTTTGCCCTTTAAAGACTAACCATGATGAAAATATGCAAAATAGATAAATGTCATTTGCCTGAAAGCAAATTCAAAGAAACTATTCCACGATCATTGGTTATATCCCTAACATTGCTTAGCCATCTCATAAATGTCTATTTCTAGTCACATGAAAACAGAAAGCAAAACTTCACGTGGATTAGCATTCTAATCTCATCTATTGATGACAGGGGAAATAAAGCAGATTTTCCTTTCTATGCCCTCTCTACCTCTCTCTCTTTCCTTATGACTGTGAGACTGAAAGTATATCCTCCTAGTTTGTCACAGTAAAGTTAGATGTGTAAAAGGGAGCATTCCATATTACAAAAACAGGCTAGAAGATACTACCATATTGTTATGTTATGTTTTATGTTATGTTATGTTATGTTATGTTATGTTGTTATGTTATGTTGTTATGTTATGTTATGCTATGCTATGCTATGCTATGCTATGCTATGCTATGCTATGCTATGTTATATTATATCATCAT